GGACCACCGCCGCCTCCAGAGACAAGCTTCGTTCTGACACGCGCTGCGGCCGAGGCTGAGATGTTATTGAGCCGAGAGGAGAGAGCTGCTGAGAGGGGCGGAGACAGGGAGGCAGGCCCCGCCCATCTGTGACCCCCCCCCTACCAACGCTGTACCCACAACACGCGCGAACATCTCTCACACACACAGAGATATACACACACACACACACACACACAAACACAGACATACACACACACACACAGAGACATACACACACAGAGACACACACCCTGGTGCAGGATGGTCCAGGACACTGATGGTCCAGGACACTGATGGTCCAGGACACTGATGGTCCAGGACACTGATGGTCCAGGACACTGATGGTCGTTGGTCTCTGTGTGTTTTTTTATCGGTGCATTGCCTGAGTTTAAACTGATTTTCTGATGTGTGTTGGAGACTGGACAACTTTGGAAAGTCCTTCATTGCCTTGATTTTCCTGTAACGTGTAAATATTTAACATTAGAGTTAGTTTTTCTGTGAGTGTGTGTCTGTGAGTGTGTGTGCGTGTGTTTGTGACGTCACGGTTGAACACAATTAGAATAAAGTCATTTCTCATAAACGCGTTAAATGTTTAATTCTGAGGCTGTTGTTGCGTCACATCGGATCAGGTTCAACTCAAGAGCAACATTTCCGCAAGGACGCGCGGTTCTCAGTACGTCTGCGTGCGTCTCTGTGCGTCTCAGGCCCTGTCCACACGAAGTCAAGCTCAGGCCTAAACGCAAAAATACTTTATCAATCCAGTGTATCGTCCATACGAGGCCGGCGTTTTGGGGGGGTGTAAACGAACATTTTTGAAACTAGGTCCCAGAGTGGAAAGATTTCAAAACTCCGTATATGCCGCTCCGTGGTTACTGCCTCTCCGCAATGTATCTGAGACGCTTGCGTCATCGCCCCGCCTCTTGTTAAAGCACGCATGCGCCGCACTCAGAAAATAATGACAACAACAATGTAGCTTGTTGGTTTTGTAATCCAGTGTGACCCGAAGCAACAGTTCAACCTCATCGTCCGTCCATACTAATGTAGTACCAGCTCGCCCACTCGCCATGTTGTCTGTTTACAAAATTCCGCGCATACCCACGGAAGTTTGGGCTTGATCCCGTCATTGCGTCACAGCGCCACCAACAGGTCTGGCATAGTTTCACAGCGTTTTCAGGCGTATTGACTACATTCATATGGATGCACACATTTACTGAGCTAACTCCGTGTTTACAGAAAAAGTTTCTGAAATTATAAGCGTTTTGTCTTCGTGTGGATATAGCCTCAGTGCGTCTCAGTGTATCTCAGTGCGTCCCTGTGCGTCTCAGTGCGTCTCATTGCGTCTCTGTGCGTCTCAGTGCGTCTCAGTGTATCTCAGTGCGTCCATGTGCGTCTCAGTGCGTCTCTGTGCGTCTCAGTGCGTCTCTGTGCGTTTCAGTGCGTCTCGGTGCCTCCCCGTGCGTCTCCGTGCGTCTCAGTGTGTCTCCGTGCGTCTCAGTGCGTCTCAGTGTGTCTCAGTGCGTCTCAGTGTGTCTCAGTGCGTCCCCGTGCGTCTCCGTGCGTTTCCAAACACCTTTTGTCTCCTGGAATCCCAAACATCCCGCTTCATGTGACCTGAAAGCACGGGGCGCCCTCCCTCGGCCGCTGCAGGTACTGCCTCCAGCAGCGGACGCGGACAAAGAAACACTTGGACAAAGAAAACAAGAAAACAATAATACATAATATAATAATAATAAAATAACAATAATAATAATAATCTGTTATTATGTTAAAGTGACCGAAGGAGCAGTGCGCTGCAGTGACACTGGGTTGTTTATAACACTGGGTTAGATGAAGGAAACAGCAGAATAAAGGGGGCAGAGGGGAGGGGGCGGGGGGCAGAGGGGGGGGCTCCTTGGACCGGGACAATGGAACCTGATAATGACATGACGCAGATCACAGTCCTTTGAAGTCTTTCTGATCCGCTACTTTCACTTTTTTGGTTTGACATGAGAGAGGTTTACACATAGGATGGTCATCAAGACCATTGGTCCTCCCAGCTGTCAATCATTCTGGTGCTGTCCAATGAGAGCAGAGATATTTGTGGACAGTCCCTCTTTATCGTTTAAGTCTGTTTGTTTCCCATATCTTTAGTTCAAACCAAAGATTTTGTGGTGAAGAGGGAGCAGCGTCTGCAATCAGAGCTCTGCTCCACATCAGCTTCCTCTGTGAGGAGCTCAGTCACACAGGAGGAGCTCGGAGTAGAGCCGCTGCTTCTACACATGGAGAGGAGCCAGAAGAGGTGGCTCTGTTTGTTGTGATGGCAGACCTGGGCAGAGCAGTGATGGGAGACCTGGAGTAGTGCAGTGATGGGAGACCTGGAGTAGTGCAGTGATGGGAGACCTGGGCAGTGCAGTGATGGGAGACCTGGGCAGAGCAGTGATGGGAGACCTGGATTAGTGCAGTGATGGGAGACCTGGGGCAGGACTGTGATGGGAGACCTGGGCAGTGCAGTGATGGAAGACCTGGAGTAGTGCAGTGATGGGAGACCTGGGGCAGTACTGTGATGGGAGACCTGGAGTAGTGCAGTGATGGGAGACCTGGGGCAGGACTGTGATGGGAGACCTGGGCAAAGCAGTGATGGGAGACCTGGAGTAGTGCAATGATGGGAGACCTGGGCAGTGCAGTGATGGGAGACCTGGAGTAGTGCAGTGATGGGAGACCTGGGCAGTGCAGTGATGGGAGAGCAGTCCAGTCCCGTTGGTGATGTCACATGAACATATTTTTAGATGGTCCACTTCCGTCTGTCTTGAGAACTGAGCTGTGGGAGGAGGACCTCATGGACCTGAATCCTCTTTGTCCAAACGGAAGCTGCAGATGTTTGTCCGGGAAAGAAAATACATGTTGTTCTTTCTGTCGTTTATAAAGTACACTGTGTTTTAATTAAAGGAAGAGGCTGTTATGTAAAGACACACAACAACAACACAACGTTTACACCGGTGAAACCATGAAAACATCTGTTTAGAGTCACACTGTGAGGTTTTCAAGTCAAGTGTCAATAATAATTCTTCTTCTTCTAAAGTTAATATAGATTTCTAAATGACCCCAAACGTTTTAGTCGTTTCTCTTTGATGTTAACTCCATCAGTGACTAGTTTAAAGATGTTTTATTTTACCCAGTTCCAAAAATCACGTTTTTGTCCCAGTTTAAGCTTCATTTATTGTCTTTAAACTCATTTCTGACTTTGACCACTTCCTTTTCTATGGTTCATATTTTTCACTGAGATTGTTCCAGAAAACCATGTTTGATGTCATTAACCAACAGCATTAACCTATATGTACATACTAACCCATGTATATGTACATACTAACCCATGTATATGTACATACTAACCCATGTATATGTACATACTAACCCATGTATATGTACATACTAACCCATGTATATGTACATACTAACCCATGTATATGTACATACTAACCCATGTATATGTACATACTAACCCGTGTATATGTACATACTAACCCATGTATATGTACATACTAACCCATGTATATGTACATACTAACCCATGTATATGTACATACTAACCCATGTATATGTACATACTAACCCATGTATATGTACATACTAACCCATGTATATGTACATACTAACCCGTGTATATGTACATACTAACCCATGTATATGTACATACTAACCCATGTATATGTACATACTAACCCATGTATATGTACATACTAACCCATGTATATGTACATACTAACCCATGTATATGTACATACTAACCCGTGTATATGTACATACTAACCCATGTACATGTACATACTAACCCGTGTATATGTACATACTAACCCGTGTATATGTACATGTACATACTAACCCATGTATATGTACATACTAACCCATGTATATGTACATACTAACCCGTGTATATGTACATACTAACCCATGTACATGTACATACTAACCCGTGTATATGTACATACTAACCCGTGTATATGTACATACTAACCCGTGTATATGTACATGTACATACTAACCCATGTATATGTACATACTAACCCATGTATATGTACATACTAACCCGTGTACATGTACATACTAACCCGTGTATATGTACATGTACATACTAACCCATGTATATGTACATACTAACCCATGTATATGTACATACTAACCCGTGTATATGTACATACTAACCCATGTATATGTACATACTAACCCGTGTATATGTACATACTAACCCATGTATATGTACATACTAACCCATGTATATGTACATACTAACCCGTGTACATGTACATACTAACCCGTGTACATGTACATACTAACCCGTGTATATGTACATACTAACCCGTGTATATGTACATACTAACCCGTGTATATGTACATACTAACCCATGTACATGTACATACTAACCCGTGTAAATGTACATACTAACCCGTGTACATGTACATACTAACCCATGTATATGTACATACTAACCCGTGTATATGTACATACTAACCCGTGTGTACATAATAACCCGTGTACATGTACATACTAACCCGTGTATATGTACATACTAACCCATGTACATGTACATACTAACCCATGTTTATGTACATACTAACCCGTGTACATGTACATACTAACCCATGTATATGTACATACTAACCCATGTACATGTACATACTAACCCGTGTATATGTACATACTAACCCGTGTATATGTACATGTACATACTAACCCATCTACATGTACATACTAACCCGTGTATATGTACATGTACATACTAACCCATCTACATGTACATACTAACCCATGTATATGTACATACTAACCCATGTATATGTACATACTAACCCATGTACATGTACATACTAACCCATGTACATACTAACCCATGTATATGTACATACTAACCCATGTACATGTACATACTAACCCATGTATATGTACATACTAACCCATGTATATGTACATACTAACCCTAAATCAATAAATCTGACACTGACCC